TTAGTAACATAGACTAATGTTTTTTTACTTATTGTAAACGATTAAAAAATGATGAAAGAAATGTATTAGCAACGCAGTGTTACCTTGATTATACATCAATGAGATATTAATTATTCTAATATGGATATATGTATGTCGGAAAATATTGAGTCTAGAAAAAAAAGTTCGAAACAAAAAATGAAGTTTATAGACAGCTCTACAAAAAAGGTTATATACATTTTTAACGTAACTTCACTCTTGATTAAAGAAAAAAGTTCCTATAAGATTTTCGACAAAGCCTCGTTTACTCCCCAGCCCCCTTCAAAGTGTTTTACAGTTCTCACTAAATATATCCGAAAATATTGATTTTGGGAAAAAAAGTTTGAAACAAAAAATGAAGCTCATAAAAAGCTCTACAAAGAAGGTTATATACACTTTTGACGTAAACCTATTAACTCGGCTGTTATGACCTAAAGTACCTCAATAAATTCTGCACACTCCTAAAAAATACTTTTTTTCATAAATCCCAAAATAATAGGTTTACATGAAAAGTGTATAGGACATTTATTATAGAACCTTTCAAGAGCTTCAATTTTCATTCAAACCTTTTCCCTCTAAAATCAATATTTTCTGAGGTATTTAATAAAAACTGTCAAAAGGGGCCTTTGAGAGGTGCAAACGAGGCTTTGTCGCTCGAAATTCTTTCAGGAACTTTCTAATCAAGGTTTTGATTAAAATTTCAGTGCAACTTTCCCATATTAATAATTCTACAGCTCAAACAATCCAAAAAATAATTTAAACTGTTTTAAAATTCATGTTAAACACGTTTCGTCACTAGGCGAGATATTTAGGTCAAGTACCGTCTGCATCGAAATGCCTGTGTGAATTTTTGCAAATTGTATGCAACGAGAAAAGGATTTAAACGGAGAGGGATTTAAAGTAGAAAGGTTCATAGCGAAGACAAGATTATGAATTGAAATTACAGGATAAGGTAGAAATCCTTTTCAAACACGGTTAACCGAGGAACAAACGTAGATTTTTCGGAATTAATTGCCATGAAAACAGAACAGAAGGGGTCCATACTAAAGAGGCAAAGTGGTTCATCCCTGCATTTCATCGTGTTCCGCTTTGAGAAGCAACGTTTCCAATTACTTGGCGGTCTGATTACCGTAGAGTTTCTGCACCAGCGTAAATATTGAATTTCGAGCCCTGTCTAACCCGATTGACATCCCAGATTCTCACGGTGCAGCTGCCGGCGGATCAACGTTATTATACTAATCGCGTGACGATACCAACCTACGTGCTGCGAGCCGCAGTTGCCCGTTAACGGTGCGCAACGCGTATCTTGTAATCGCGATACACGCTCGGCCAATTTTACGGCTTTTTGGACACAGCGAGAACACGCGAATTCGTCTTTTGTTCGATGTTGTTGGTTTTGGAGAAATTGGGACATTTGGACATTTTGAGGGATTTGAAGATTTGGAAATTTTGGAATTTGGAAATTTGGAAATTGGGAAATTCGGTCATTGGGAAATTGAGAAATTTGGAAATTGGGAAATTGGGAAATTAGGAAATTGAGAAATTGGGAAATTGGGAAATTGGGAAATTGGGAAATTGGGAAATTAGGAAATTGAGAAATTGAGAAATTTGGAAATTGGAAAATTGGGAAATTTGGGAATTGAGAAATTTGTGAATTTGGAAATTCGGGAATTCGAAAGTTTGGGACTAGGGAAATTTGGGAATTGGGAAATTCGGAACTAGGGAAATTTGGAACTATGGAAATTTGGGAATTGGAAAATTTGGAACTAGGGAAATTTGGGACTGAGGAAATTTGGAACTGAGGAAATTTGGGACTAGGGAAATTTGGGAATTTGCAGATTTAAAGATACAGCAATTTACAAACTTAAAAATACCAAAAATTTGGAGATATATAAATTCAATGATTTTAATATTTAAGAACTTAGAAATGTACTTATCAGTAATTGTGAAACTAATTTAGACAGAGAGATGAAATATCTAGGTTCGTCCCTGGCACCAGTGTCACGGAAACTGTTGCGCGAAATTTTTGGCGTAAAATGCATCGCGTTTTTTAAAACAAAGGGAATGGATTAAAAAGCGATGCATACCGTTGGTTACGCGGTTGCTCTTTTATTAATTTCATCCGCTTCGCGTATTTCAGGTGGCATTTTTTAATTTCCGCATAACTTAACTTTTACTGCGGTAAAAAGAAAAAAGGGAAGCTTTTTGTTGAATTTTAGTTAGCCGAAAAATATTTAGGAACAAAAGCTTTCATGGGTCAGATTCCAATTATGAAGTTCGGGTATTAACGATCTTCCATGTTTTTAATTTGTTGCGATTCCATTAACTGTAGTAGTAATTAAACGATAATTACGCTTCTTTTTTGTTCGTTAGACCGATTTAAAAGGATTATGAATGAGTTCTTTATGTATGCAGAATGAGTTCATAGCAAAATATTTACTGTAATTAATAAATTATAATTTTTCTTAAAAAATTGTACTTACAGAAATACAAGACAGTGATTAAATACCAAAGAAGATGGTTAGACTTGAAAAGAGTCTAGCGATACTTTAACATTTCGTTCGGTTATTTGTAATTTCAAATCAATCTTTATCCACAACAGCAATAAGACCCGACTCATTACATTTCAGCGAATATTTTTTTATTGTCACATCTGGAACCCTTAACCTTAACAGTAGAGTCTTCCGTTCGCAGTGAACTATTCGTGTCGAAGTATTGCTGCCTTTATTACTTGCTTAGGTCACTGCGGGTAAACCCAGACACACTTCATACGTCGCTCGCATTTCCATCTCCACCCAAATTTTACCTAAACCGATAGGAAATTAGAAACTGTTTTCTCTCGGCAATGTCACAAAAATTCTACGGCCACTCCGAGCTTTCGTGAAACGTAAAAATTCTTCGGAGACACTCTCGAACAAACAGTGATCAAGTACGTTGCAAAATAAACTAGTCGTTCGAAGTGAAATTCATAGAGTCCACTTATATTCACTCGTATCCTAATGATTCGTCGTTTAATCGTCACTTAATATTGCTGACGCTGTGACGCACATACACATAGTTCTTAACCATTTGCCTTACGTGATTTATCAAGTGCTTTGGAACTAACTGATCACAGCTACAATATTAAAACTGGAAAGAAAAGTTGAAGTGTTATGTCAATTTTGTATTCGGCAATCCTTGACCATGCAAATTATAATTGGACTTAAATTCTAAATTGAAGCGTATTCAAAATTCGAGTAAGATGTGGCAGGTTTGTGGCGTGCAGATGTGGGTTGAGTGCGTCACATGTAGCTTGAGTGCGTCATATGTAGTTCGAGTGCGTCGTGTGTAGTTTAAGTACGTCATGTGTAGCTCGAGTGCGTCTTATATAGCTTGAGTGCGTCATATATAACTTAAGAGTATCATATGTAGTTTGAGTGCTTCATGTGTAGTTTGAATGCGTCATACATAACTTAAGAGTGTCATATGTAATTTGAGTGCGTCATGTATAGCTCGAGTGCGTTATGTGTAACTCGAGTGCGTCATATGTAGTTTGAGTGTGTCACGTGTAGCTTGAATGTGTCATATTTAGTTCGAGTGCGTCATATGTAACTTGAATGCGCCATGTGTAGCTTAAGTGCTTCATATGTAGCTTGAGTGCGTCGTGTGTAGTTTAAGTGCATCATATGTAGCTTGAGTGCGACGTGAAATTCACGGAATCCACTTATATTCACTCGCACTCCAATGATTCGTCGTTTAATCGTCACTTACTACTGCAACACACATTTTACTATATTTGTTACGTTTAAATTGTTTGATATCATTTATATTTGGATGACCCAAGCATAATTCCCTGCGAAATTTTTTGTTGCGGCCATTTTCATAATTCACTATTGCAGACGCCGCGACGCGCGATTTTCAAACAATTACTAGATAACATTTTAATTATGATACGATATTATTCTATTGAATTAATTACTGCACAAATTCAACGAAAAACACCATCAATTCTGATGGACCCATTGTGAAAGCAAAATGGAAGTATTGATTATTTAAATATTTAAACAGTGAAAGGTTGTCATTGCTTTCGGTGAAAAGCAATCATCACGATACGATGAACTAATTAGCTGAAAGCGATTTTTGAAACACGGAATGTGGAGCACATACAACTCGTGTGAAGAGAGGTGTTAATTAACTGTCCATCGTCCATTGCTAAGTGGTCTCAAGTGTTATGATTATGAACGTATTATGACTCTACAATGAATGCTAAAAGCATCGTGAATGCGTGATGAATATTAATAATACACCAGAGTCTCTTTTACTCGATCAAAGATTTAATGAATCAGGAGAAAACAAGATTCATTAGCACTTGATATTGTTCGTGCCTCGGCCATTAAATTTCACCGCTAATTTCCTTGTAATTATACTTGAACGGTAATTGTACATGCACTTGCAATTTCTTTCTATTTTAATAATGGTTGCAGTTGTTTTATTTGGTTAGAAAAATAATTTCGAATTAATTGAAAGTTTCGATCGCTAAAATACCAATAATATTCAAAACTTTTTTTCAAATTTTAAAATTATTCACTTGGAATAATTTTGAAAAAACTGAAACAAACTCGAACAACAAGTGGTATAATATTAAATTTTCAAGATACCAATTAAAAAGATTCAAATGAAGAAGTCTCAATATCGTATTAAATTTATAAAATACCAATTAAAAATATTCGAATGGAAAATAAAATCGTATTTACTCAATAAAATTTCAGTAACATTCAAAATTTTCATTGCCAGCCCATCTTCAAATTATTCTAATTAAATAATTTTAAATGAACCGAAAATTGTATTAGCAAGTGGTTTTAAAATCACATTAAAATTACCAATTAAAAATATTTGAACGAGAAATGTGATTTCTACTCATTCGGTCTAATTATCTATCCTTCCGAATGCAATTTTTTGCGCAAACATAAAACGTTTCTAATGTTCGATTTATGTGCTTGCAGTTCTGGTCTGCCTACGTTCCATGCGGTGCAGCACAGTTGAATGCTGTTCAACTTTCCTTGGAGCAGATCGACGTGATCCGCCGACTCGCCGAGATGAATGCTCAACATTTAACTTTGGTTACCTCCGTCAAAGGTGAGCTCCGCCTTTTAAAACCGCGATCACTTTTTAATTAAGGCTACTTCCCTATCGAGTCGTTCCACAAATAGGTCATCCTTACAATCTTTATTTCAAATTAAATTAAATACACCCAATTTTAAGTGGATCGTACAATTAGTGAAGCTCCAGAAAATTATTAACCTTTGTGTAGATGGAGCTAGTCTATATTATATCTATCCATTTATTTATAGTTGCATTCTCATAGCGACAAATTTTGTGTACTATTGTTAAGAAGCTACGTTCTTTTGTTTTTGTGCAGAGTGACATTTTAATGAAGTTCTTGTTAAACATTGTTGATTCATATTTCATTTTAAGCTTGACAGAGACAAATATGTGTATTAAGAAAATTTATTTTGAAACTTGATAAAATATAATTTTTATATTGCATTCAGATGTTGATGGACGACAATTTAAATTTGTAATAGAATTAACTATACTCAATTTCATTTTCATATTGTATGAAGACGTTAATATAAGAAAATTTAAATTTATAATAAAATTAACTGTTACTAATTTCATTTTCATATTGTATTCAGGCACTAACCTAAGAAAATTTAAATTTATAATAGAATTAACTATACTAAATTTCATTTTCATATTGTAATTAGAGATTAGTCTATGAAAATTTAAATTTATAATAAAATTAAATATATTCAGTTTATTTTTCATACTGTACTCAGACGTTAATCAATAATATCGAACAGATGGAGTTTAATATTAAAAAGTAGACATTAAGTGCTTCAATTTAAATAGAAATGAATAATTTAAGATTTATTATTGATTGATGTGTTTTATGGAAGAGTAACGTTGCAGTGCAATGCAACTATTATGCACTTGATATTGATGAATCATAATAAAGTGATATGAAACAATAAGAAGTTTAAATGTATCATTTGTGAATTATTGACTGATTCATTTTGGAAAAGTGTTAATTCAGAATGTATTTAGATTAACGTTACTTAATGATATCAAGTATGTAGGGAAAAATTAGTATTGTTGAAAATATTAATATAAACGCAGACATTATTATCAACGTTGTGATATCTTTTTTACTTTCAAATTCAACTAACTTTGCCATATTAATCCTTATTGTATTTATATTAATAGAAAAGAGAAAACTAATCGATAGAACTTAAAAAATGCCTCAAAACGAAAAATAGAAAGTCACATAACTTAATTAAAGTTTGCAATAATTACTCTAAAACTACTAATATCTTTTAACTGTTAAAAAATGCTTAAAAAAAGAAAATAAAAGGTCACATAACTCAATTAAAACTTGCAATAATTACACCACAAATGCTAAAATATTTTAGTTCTTAAAAAATGTCTCAGAACAAAAAATAAATAGTCACATAACTCAATTAAAATTGATCAAATTTACTCCAAAGATACTAATATCTTCTAACTCTTATAAAATGTCTAAAAATGAAAAAAAAGCTACAAAAATTAATTAAAATTTACTTACTCCCAAAAGAGCAATATTTGACTATTAAAAAATAACCCAAAACTTAAATTAATTATAATAAACGCTAACACCTTTGAATGTTTAACACTAGGTTCACAAAACGCGTCATTTCGACGCATTTCGAATTTTTTCAAAAAAATTACAAAGACCGTTCGCATTTTTATTTTATCTTGTACGGACTTTTATCCGTTGAACGAGGTAAGTATTGAAGTCTATTTTCTTCAGAATATTGAAGTCTATTTTCTTCA